GGAAACACAGGTGTCTCACTGAATGGTACCACTTCGGCCAGCGCCGGCCCTGCCCACAGCGAGACACAGCCAAGGAGCACCGGCCAGGCCATGGTTCGGAGAGACTTCATCATTGCCTGCCGGGAACCTGCATGTCAGACCCCTGCTGGGTCCCCTCCTATTTATAGGGCGCTGGGAGCAGCACCTGATTCTTGTTGTTTTCAGGCTCCCTGCCAGGGGCTTTCAGATTACGCACATTCACCCCATCTCCAGCTGCATCATCTATTCTCTGATCAATATCAAATCTGGATTGTGCCAATTTTTGGAGCCAATATCAACAGCACGCAGGGCACTCTGGGGTCTGCTCAGGTGACAGCTGGAGAGACTCTTTTATGCATTTTATCATCTGCCATCCTCTCCTCCTTACTAAGGCGTAGAGAACCTCAATTAATAGACCCTCCCCCAAAGGACGTCTCTGTCCGATTCACATGCACTTCTGCCTTTTTAGAATTAAGGGTATGTCTACACTAGCTCGTTAATTCGAGCTAGGTAGGCATATCAGGGAACCGGAGCTGCAAATGAAGCCTGGGATTTAAAAATCTGAACTACGTCCTTAGTGGAATGAGGAGTAACAGTTAATCCGAACTAAGGACTTAGTTCGGATTAACTTTAAACTGCCGCGTGTAGCCGTGGGCAGTTCGTTCGGACTAAGGGGGATTTAAAAATGGCGGCCAGACGGGAACATGCAAATAAAGCCCGGGATTTTTAAATCCCAGGCTTCATGTGCAGCTCTGCTTCCCTGATTTGCCTACCTAGCTTGAATTAACGAGCTAGTGTAGACATACCCAAAGTGCCAACAAATCTGGTGCCATTTTGGTTTAGGTAGAGCCCATCCTTTCTGGATAGGTTACCCCTTTCCCAGAAGTTTCCCTGGTTCTTAATAAATCTAGCCCCCTCTTCTCTATACCCTTGTCTCGTGTATACATTGAAACCTGCCAGTTCTTCCTAGCTACATGGCCTTGATGAATTTAGATTTAGGCGTTAGTTACTTGAGCACGGGTAAGAGTTTTTGTAAGGAAACCTCTCCGTCCATGTCTTGGGATAACACAGCTTCCAGTGCTATCTCTGAGGCATCGGTCTGGAGGATGAACGGTCTTGTGAAGTCAGGCTGAACCAAGAGTGGTTCTTGGAGCAACTGGTCTCGCAGGGTCAGTAAGGTCTCTTCACATTTCACACCTTCTGAGGCCGTTGGTTCTTGGTCAGATCCTTCAAGGGGGCCGCTAGGGTGGAAAAGTTGGGCACAAATCTGCAGTAATACCCCGCCAGTCCTAACAACTGCTTCACCTGCCTCTTTGTAGTTGGGGTGGGATGGTCTCAGAGGGTCTGCACCTTGTCTACTACCAGCTTTACTCTCCCTTTTCCCACAGTGTACCCTAACGATGTCACCTCTCGTTTGCCTAGGTGGCACTTGGCTGGGTTCGCCATCAACTTAGCTTCTCCCAGGGCCTCTAGTACCTTTTCCAGATGTTGAAGGTGCTCCTCCCAGTTCCTGCTATACACAACAATGTTGTCAACGTAGGCAGCTGTTACCCGTCATGTGGGCTCAGGACTTGGTTGATCAAACGCTGGAACGTAGCAGCAGCTCCATGCAGACCGAAGATGGAACCCTAGATTTGTTTTATGGGCAGTGTTTCCCAAAGTGGTCCACAGAGCCCCTCTGAGAAACCTGCTGAAACAGACTCAGCGCACTGTTGTCCAATCAAACAGAACTCACAGTTGGTACATCTAAACTACACATCTCTGTCGACAGAGAGATGTAGATTAGGCACGCTGAAAGTGCTAATGAAGAGGGGATTTAAATATCCCGTGCTTCGTTAGCATAAACATGGCCACCGCTTTTTATCAAAACGGAGCTTTTTTGAAGAAAAAAAAAAAAAAGAAACAAAAACCCGGCAGTCTAGATGTGGATCTTTTGAAAAATAAAGCCTTTTTCGAAAGATCCTGTAAACCTCATTTTGTGAGGTTTACAGGATGTTTCAAAAAAGGCTTTATTTTTAGAAAGATCTGCATCTAGACTGCCGTTTTTTTTCAACAAAGCTCGGTTTCGGAAAAAAGCGGCGGCCATGTTTATGTTAATGAAGTGTTGGATAGTTAAAATCCCCACTTCATTAGCAATTTCAGCGTCCCTAATCTACATCTCTCTGTCGACAGAGAGGGGTAGTCTAGACACAGCCAGTATGTTTCAGTCAAGCAGCATGCACACCACGAACACAAACACACACACTACAGAACACAACTTACCCCAAGGGCACAAAACATTTTCGAAAGTGCAAAGGTCAATTGTATGGTCTCTTTCCAGACTTTGGGCAAACACACCTGGTGGAAAGGACAGATTTATGCCCAGAGAGGGATGGGGGACAGGGCAGGGCTTTCTATGAGGGAGTCCCTTAGTGACTACACAGGACTCACGTTAGACCCTCAATAACACCTCAAACACACAGGCTACGTCTAGACTGGCATGGTTTTGCGGAAATACTTTTAACAGAAAAGGTTTTCCGTTAAAAGTATTTCCGCAAAAGCGCGTCTAGATTGGCAAGGATGCTTTTGCGCAAAAGCATCCGTGCCAATCTAGACGCGCTTTTGCGCAAGAAAGTTCCAATGGCCATTTTAGCTATCAGGCTTTCTTGCGCAAAAAATTAAGGTGCCTGTCTACACTGGCCCTTTTGCGCAAGTATTCTTGCACAAGAGGGCTTATCCCTGAGCAGGAGCGTGAAAGTATTTGCGCAAGAAGCACTGATTTTGTTCATTACAAAATCAGTGCTCTTGCACAAATTCAAGCGGCCAGTGTAGACAGCTGGCAAGTTTTTGCACAAAAGCAGCCACTTTTGCGCAAAATCTTGCCAGTCTAGATGCACCCACAATATCCTGCACACCAGGCTTGAGGAGACTGTGGCAGTCCTGCTGGTCGCTGGCTGCTGAATCTTCATCCATGTGCGTTAGGGGGATTTTTCACACTTCACAGATTGGGGCTCAGTCTTTACAAGCGTCTCATTCTGCTTTTGCCTTTTGTTCACATAGAAAGCCATTACACCGGTCTCCTGCTGGCCTGTGGACCTGACATACCACTTCATCTCCCCTTCCCTTCTGAGGGATCTGAAGCTGCCTGCGTTGGGGAGGGACTTGGGGTCTATTCTGCGGGGCTGTTTGCTAGTCCGGGTACCACCCACTGCTCATCTCAGGCTCCTGATTACCAGGTCAGTGGTGTCTGTTGCTGGCATGATACAATCAGGTTTTAGGTGTCTTCTGTTCCACATGTTCCTTTGTCCTATGGTCTTGTAACACAGGCCTGGAGTCTAGGGGTTCTGTGAACATTAGAGCTGGAAGAGTTCTATGTGGTAAGAAAGGGAATCATATGGCAACTCCTAATCGGTATAGCTTAGGGTGTGTCTAGACTACTGAGTTTTGTCGACAAAAGTGAACTTTTGTCGACAAAACTATACCTGCGTCTACACCACCGATGAGTTCTGTCGACATAACGTCGACAGAACTCAGCAGTTTTGTCAACGCTGGTAAACCTCATTTTACGAGGCATAACACCTTTTGTCGACAGAGTTCTGTCGACAGAAGGTGTTATTGCCCGTAGGGTTGTGTCTAGACTACAGGGTTTTGTCGACAAAGCAGCTTACTTTGTCGACAGAACTGAATGTGTCTAGACGCTCTATGTCGACAGAAGTTTTGTCGACAGTATCTGTCGACAAAACTTCTGTCGACAAAACCCTGTAGTCTAGACGTACCCTCTGTGACTGACATCTGGCATTAGATAGGAGTTGGGAATTACATAAATGATTTGGTGGACAAGAATATATTTGTGCTAACTCAGGGAAGTCAATAGACCAGAAAGCTAAGACAACAGAATGTCTGAGCAAACTAAGATAAGTGGGAAACCATGCAGGGAATGACTTACTTTGAACTAGATAACTAGATAACAATGTCAAAATAATGTAAAGAGCAAGTCAAATCATGACCCATGTAGGTTGCACAGGGATTTGCTCCTGCAGAGTTACCGAGCCAGTCCAGAAATCGGTATCACCATGGACAGCAAATGGAAGGAGATGTGCAATGGATATAAAGAGAGAAGGTGTCTGGGTAACCAGGGCTGGCCTTACCACGAGGTAAATTGAGGTGGCCGCCTCAGGTGCCAGACTGGGGGTGCGGGCGCAACTAGGACCCAGAGTGTAGAAATTGTGTCTGTTGCTGGTGTATATGTAGGTAGCAGAGCAGTACCATGAGAGGAACAGAACAGGAAGAAGGTAGAATTGAGACCTTTCAAAGTTTTGGCCCAAGTGAGGGGGAATGGGGTGCCAAAATGTTGTGGGTCGGCCCTGTGGGTAACTTTGGGCTTATGATGTGCCCTGAATCTATTCCCTTCTGTGTTTTTGTGTGATCAATTCAATGTTGCCCTACCATATGCCAAACAGAAGTACCTAAGGGTGTGTCTAAACTACATAGCTCCATCGATGGAGCCATGTAGATTAGGCTGATCGGCAAAGGGAAATGAAGCCGCGATTTAAATAATCGCGGCTTCATTTAAATTTACATGGCTGCCGCGTTGAGCTGACAAACAGCTGATCAGCTCTTTGTCAACTCAGTGCGCTTGTCTGGAAGCTCCTGCGCCGACCTGAAAGCCCTTTATCGACCTCCCCGTTATGCCTCGTAGGATGAGGTTTACCGGGGAGGTCGAAAAAAGGCTTTCATGTCGGCAGGGGAGCGTCCAGACTAGCACGCTGAGCCGACAAACAGCTGATCAGCTGTTTGTTGGCTCAGCGTGGAAGCCATGTAAATTTAAATGAAGCCGCGATTATTTAAATCGCGGCTTCATTTCCCTTTGCCAAACAAACAAATCTACATGGCTCTGTCGACAGAGCCATGTAGTTTAGACGTACCCTTAGTGAAGAAGGCTGAGTAAACCTAATCTCACAACCAGGCACATTAGAAGAAAGAACTGTGAAATACAGGAGAGTCAGACACCCAGATGAACAAAACTTGTCGAGGAAGCACCAACATGGTTTCTGTAAAGGGAAATCATCTCTCTCCACTCTACGGGTACGTCTAGCTCAGCCTTCTTCACTAAGGGTACGTCTAAACTACATGGCTCTGTCGACAGAGCCATGTAGATTTGTTTGTTTGGCAAAGGGAAATGAAGCCGCGATTTAAATAATCGCGGCTTCATTTAAATTTACATGGCTGCCGCGTTGAGCTGACAAACAGCTGATCAGCTCTTTGTCAACTCAGTGCGCTTGCCATTTAAACTTAAATGAAGCTGCGATTATTTAAATTGCCACTTCATTTCCCTTTGCCCAGTAAACAAATCCACATAGCTCTATCGACAGAGCCATGTAGTCTAGACATACCCTTTGAGTCTATCTTGAGCCGACAAACAGCTGATCAGCTGTTTGTTGGCTCAGCGTGGAAGCCATGTAAATTTAAATGAAGCCGCGATTATTTAAATCGCGGCTTCATTTCCCTTTGCCAAACAAACAAATCTACATGGCTCTGTCGACAGAGCCATGTAGTTTAGACGTACCCTTAGTGAAGAAGGCTGAGTAAACCTAATCTCACAACCAGGCACATTAGAAGAAAGAACTGTGAAATACAGGAGAGTCAGACACCCAGATGAACAAAACTTGTCGAGGAAGCACCAACATGGTTTCTGTAAAGGGAAATCATCTCTCTCCACTCTACGGGTACGTCTAGATACAGGGTTTTGTCGACAGAAGTTTTGTCGACAGATACTGTCGACAAAGCTTCTGTCGACAAAGAGCGTCTAGACTACATTCAGTTCTGTCGACAAAGCAAGCTGTTTTGTCGACAAAACCCTGTAGTATAGACACACCCTACTAGAATTATCTGAGAGGGTCACCAAGCATGTGGACAAGAGGGTCCAATGGATATTGTGTTTATATCTTATCAAAAAGGCTCTCACACGCTGCCTCCCCTAAGGCTCGTAAGCAAAGGAAGTTATTATGGGATGAGAGGGAAGGTCCTTTCATGGATTGGTAACTGGTTAAAGCTAGGAATAAATGGTCAGTTTTCAGAATGGAGAGTGGTAACTGCAGGGGTCTGTCCTGGGTGGGTCCAGTCCTATTCAACGTATTCATAAATGATCTGGAGAAAGGGGTAATCAGTGAGATGGAGACATTTGCAGATGATACAAAATTGCTGAAGGACACAGCAGGCTGCGAAGAGTTGACAAAGGGATCTCACAAAACTGGGTGAGTGGGCAACAAAATGGTGGATCACATTCAATGCTGATGGAGGCAAAGTAGTACACCTTGGAAAAGAGACATCCCAATTCTACCTGAGAAATTATGGGGTCTAAGTTAGCCACTCAAGTGAGATATCTTGGCGTCACTACGGACAGTTCTCTGAAAAATGCCCATGCACAACTGTACCCAGAATCACCCACTACAATGTTGTTGTCCCATCAGACACTGGGAGTCTAAGCCAGAGTGCAAACGGGCAGCAGGCAGTGCGGAAAGGCTACCCACAGTGCATCACTATGAAAATCGAAGGTGGAGATCTTGGTTGGCCAAGTGGATCAGCAAAGCCAGTGCTGACGAGGAATGTGAAAAGGCTGCAAAACACCACACACTACAAACTGTAGCCTAAGAGCATTGTCATTTGTTAACCCTGAAGCTGGACATGGGTTCCGACCAAGATCCGCGAATGCTCTCTCTCCTGTGGCAAGGAACTCCATGGAGCATGGTCAGAAGCAAGTGGTGCCACAGCACAAGACACAACTGAAGAAAAAGTAAGGAATTCTCTATCCCTGCATTCAGAAAATGTGCACACAGGACTGATGAATGAACCAATGCACCTGAGTGTCAATTATAGGTTGAACCTCTCTAGTCCGGCACTCCTGGGTCTGGCAACCTCCATTGTCCGGCATGATTGGAGTTAGCCATATGTCCACTGAGCCATACTATCAACTATCAGCAGGGGGAGGGGAAGGTCAGTGGTTTGAACATTGGCTTGCTAAACCCAGGATTGTGAGTTCAATCCTTGCAGGGACCATTTAAGGATTTGGGGCAAAAATGTGTCAGGGGTGGTACTTGGTCCTGCTGTGAGAGCAGGGGACTGGACTCAATGAACCTTCAAGGTCCCTTCCAGTTCTAGGAGATAGGCAATCTCCATTAATTTAATTTTAACTGAGCCATGTCCATTGTCCCAGGTACAAATACGTCAGGGTTCATAGGCCCTCTGGCTATGGATAGCTGCTAATGTAATTAGATCAACAATATCCCTGACTCACGCACCTTCATATTGTATCTGAGTCTGTGGTCTTTGAGGGCTCTCGTGACGTCTTTTACGCTAGCTATCTGTGCAGAGCTGGCATGACATATTGGGGGAGCCTATGAAAACACAGTATAGGGGGTAGCCATGTTAGTCTGGATCTGCAAAAGCGATGAGGAGTCCTGTGGGACCTTATAGACTAACAGATATTGGAACATAAAGCTTTCGTGGGCAAAGACCCATGCATCTGATGAAAGCCCACAAAAGCTTATGCTCCAATAAGTCTGTTAGTCTCTAAGGTGCCACAGGATTCCTCATCGCTTTATGAAAACACAGGCAGCCGAATGTTCATTATCCCTGATGGAGCAGGAGATCTGTCAGGACACCACCAGTGAATCCTAAATTTACTGTATCACTGTCCTGAATGCCAACAGGAGGTAAATAGGAGTTGGGAATTACATAAATGATTTGGTGGAAAAGAGAATATTTGTGCTAATAAAGAGAAGTAAATAGATCAGAAGGCTAAGACAACAGAAAGTTAGAGCAAACTAAGATAAGCGAGAAACCATGCAGGGAATGACTTACTTTGAACTAGATAACATGGGACAAACAATGTCAAAATAATGTAAAGAGCAAGTCAAATCATGACCCAAAAACGTTGCACAGGGATTTGATTCTGCAGAGTACCCAAGCCAGTCCAAAAATCGGTATACACCATGGACAGCAAATGCAAGGTGATGTGCAATGAATATAAAGAGAGAAGGTGTCTGGGTAACTTTGGGGTTGTGATGTACGCTGCATCCATTCCCTTCTGTGTTTGAGTGTGATCAGTGTAAACGTAGCCCTACCATATGCCAAACAGAAGTAGCTAAGTGATGAAGGCTGAGTAAACCCAACCTCACAACCAGGCACATTAGAAGAAAGAACTGTGAAATACGGAAGAGTCAGACACCCAGATGAACATGTCGAGGAAGCGCCAAGATGGTTTCTGAAAAGGGAATTCATCTCTCTCCACTTTACTAGAACCCTCAGAGAGGTCACCAAGAATGTGGACAAGAGGGTCCAATGGATATTGTGTTTATATCTTATCAGAAAGCCTTCACACGATCCCTTCCCAAAAGCTCTTAAGCAAAGGAAGCTGTCATGGGATAAGAGGGAAGGTCCTTTCATGGTTGATAACTGGTTACAAGACAGGAAACAATGGCTAGGAATAAATAGTCAGTTTTCAGAATGAAGAGTGATAACTGCAGAGGTCTGTCCTGGGTGGGTCCAGTCCTATTCAACATATCCATAAATGATCTGGAGAAAGGAGTGAGATGGTAACATGTGCAGATGTTACAAAATTGCTGAAGGACTCAGCAGGCTGTGAAGAGTTGACCAAGGGATCTCACAAAACTGGGTGAGTGGGCAACACAATGGCAGATCACATTCAATGCTGATGGATGCAAAATAGTACCCCACTGAAAACAGAAATCCCAATTCTACCTGTGAAATGATGGGGTCTACGTTAGCTGTAGCCACTCAAGCGAGAGATTCTGCAGCCGCTGTGGATAGTTCTCTGAAAAGAGTAAGCTAAGCAGGGAGCTGACAAGTCTGCAAAATCAGGACAGGCAGGGAGAAAGTGAATAAGGAATACGAAAGTGCTGGAAGTCTATTACAGGGGAGGGGTCGCTCATTAACTGGCTTGTGCTGTTCATTCCCTCAGAAGCACCTCAGACCGGGACACATAGCATCCATGGGACACAGTAGGAAAATTCCAAATTAGGAAAAACTACCAAGAAATAAGACAGACACTGCCCTCAACGGCTACTTCTTCTCCAATAGGAGATTGCAAACCAGCAGCAAAAGTAAACTTGTTTCCCCACATTGGTAACAAGAGGTCAGAAAAGCACTCGGCTTCCCGTCCTGGTATCCGCACCAAAACCACTGACCTTACGGATATGGTGGTATTGGAAACCAATGTAATCAAACCAAAGGGGTTCCTGATCCAAAGGACTGGAGCTCTGATCCTTTCTAGTATGCGCACCATAGACAACCACTTAGTATGTACAATCCAAGGGCTTATTTATAGAAAGAAAGAAACGCGGGAGATCAAATGAGCGAAAGGAAGTAAATTCATACCATCATTGCACTGTGATTGGATCGGGCTGGTAGCAGTGATGGGATACTCTTCCGGCTTGTTAAGTTGTGGGTTCTTCCTCAGTCCCTGGAAGGTCCCTAGTCCCTTGCTTAGACTCCTCCCATTAATCTAACTTTATTGTCCGGAAGGGAGAGCAGGAAAGAGGGAAAATGCAGATGTTTCGGGGTGTTTTATATCCTCTGCTCAGTGAAGGGAGACCCGTTGTTCTCACTGTAGGAAATAGGGAACAAGATGGAGCTGGGAGTCACTGGGACAAGTCATACAGCCATATGCCCGATTTTGCTTAGGCCCAGCAGAGGCTAGTACCTACCTTTCAACTCAGACATTCACAGGAAAGTCCCTTTGGTGTAAAGAGACATCTCCCATTGGGAGTTAGGCATTAAGGGTGAGTGACGGAACATCAGCAGCCCCTTCACAATGTGCTGGATAAATCCCTGAGGTCACAATCCCAGGAGCAAAGATCGGACAAGCAGGGACACAGTTCAGAGTCACAACTTCAGAGGCAAAACCGAACCACGCCTACGAAGAGCACAATTGTAGTCAGTGAATCGCAACGTTTCTATTGACGTCCCACTGGGAAAGATTTGGATGATACTGGCTGCCGTTAGATAGCTGGGGTAGAAATTCCTCTGGGACTGGGAAAATATGGCCACCATGCTGGATTTATTCCCTTCTTCTTTTCTGCCTAGGCTGTCCTACCTCTCAGCCGTTGAGAAGTGGAGTCCTGAGATTTCAAAGGGCCGTGTCTCACTGCTACCAGGGCCAAGGCAGCGGCTAGAGCCCCAGACACTTCCTCCACCAGAGCCCTGTGCTGACGGGTTGCCTGGGGGAGGCTCTTCCCCAGCATGGACCCATTTGCCTGAGGTTCGGTTCTGTTCTTGTCTATTAATAGAAATATGCAGATCATCATTGCACCCAGAATCAAGGATCAACTTTTAGACGTTGTGTCTGACTATGTCTAGATGGCCTTTTTTAAAAAAAACTTCACCTCCATCTAGAGTGCTACTGCGATCTTCTGAAATGAATCAAAAGAACGCAGCGGGTTTTTTGACCGCGGTAAATCTCATTTGACCAGGAAGAATGCCTTTTGTCCAAAGAGGTCTTTCGAAAAAAGGCGTTCTTGACCGCAAACAGAACTTTTTCAAAAGAGAGCCTCCAGACTGCCTGGGAGCTTGTTTTTGAAAAAGCAGATTGCTTTTTGGAAACAGCTGTGGCTGTCTTGACCCTCTCTTTGGAAAGAGGATTGTCGTCTAGACGTACTCTTAGGCTACATCTACACTGGCATGATTTTCTGGAAATGCTTTTAATGGAAAAGTTTTCCATTCAAAGCATTTTCAGAAAAATCACGTCTAGATTGGCAGGACGCTTTTCTGCAAAAGCACTTTTTGTGGAAAAGCGTCGGTGGCCAATCTAGACACGGTTTTCCGCAAAAAAGCCCCGATCGCCATTTTTGCCATCGGGGCTTTTTTGCGGAAAACAGTACTATGCTGCGCTGTTTACACTGGCCCTCTTGCGCAAATCATTTGCGCAAGAGGACTTTTGCCCGAATGGGAGCAGCACAGTATTTCTGCAAGAACACTGACAATCTTACATGAGATCGTCAGTGTTCCTGCGGAAATTCAAATGGCCAGTGTAGACAGCTGGCAAGTTTTTCCGCAAAATCATGTGATTTTGCGGGAAAGCTTGCCAGTCTAGACACAGCCTTAGAGCGACTGTGATAGAGAGTCCAACAGGCTGCAGAGGTTATGGAGGCACCTACCCAAACAGAGCTCAAGAAGGGCACACACCCCATGGGCAAATCTATCACTTTTCTCCCCAGCTTCAAGGGAAGGAGGGATTTAACAACCCATCCAGCCCTGATGCTAAGAAGGGAAATCAGGGGATCCCTGAGAACTGACATTCTCAATCCGTGCATAAACCAGCCAAGGGCTACCCCTTCGGCAGGCCTAGCCACACAAGAGCGGGCTCTCCATACCTGAAGGGAAGCCCAGGGCCCGCAACTCAGACCCAATGACAAGGGCCAGCTCTGTCACTCTCACTGCCTCGGCAGGTTAGGCAAACCCCATTTGCCTGCAAATGTGAGCCCCGCAGTGGCCAACGCTGACCACTGTTTGGGGACCCATACTGTTCAATATCTTCATCAATGATGTAGATATTGGGATAGAGAGTACGCTTATTAAGTTTGCAGATGATACCAAACTGGGTGGGGTTGCGACTTCTTTGGAGGATAGGGACATAATTCAAAATGACCTTAGCAAGTTAGAGAAATGGTCAGAGGTAAACAGGATGAGGTTTAATAAAGAGAAATGCAAAGTGCTCCACTTAAGAAGGAACAATCAGTTCCATACATACAAGACGGGAAGCGACTGTCTAGGAAGGAGCATGGCAGAAAGGGATCTAGGGGTCATAGTGGACCACAAGTTGAATATGAGTCAACAGTGTGATGCTGTTGCAAAAAAAGCAAATATGATTCTAGGTTGTATCAACAGGTGTGTGGTAAGCAAAACTCATGAAGTCATTCTGCCGCTCTACTCTGCACTAGTTAGGCCTCAGCTGGAGTACTGTGTCCAGTTCTGGGCGCCACATTTCAAGAAAGATGTGGAGAAATTGGAAAGGGTACAGAGAAGAGCGACAAGAATGATTAAAGGTCTAGAGAACATGACCTATGAAGCCAGGCTTCATGAACTGGGCTTGTTTAGTTTGGAAAAAAGAAGATTAAGGGGGGACATGATAGCGGTTTTCAAATATCTAAAAGGGTGTCACAAGGAGGAAGGAGAAAATTTGTTCCTCTTGGTTTCTGAGGACAGGACAAGGAGTAATGGGCTTAAAGTGCAGCAGGGGAGGTTTAGATTGGACATTAGGAAAAAATTCCTAACTGTCAGGGTGGTCAAATATTGGAATAAATTGCCAAGGGAGGTGGTGGAATCTCCCTCTCTGGAGATATTTAAGAACAGGTTAGATAGACATCTGTCAGGGATGGTGTAGACAGAGCTTGATCCTGCCTTGAGGGCGGGGGGCTGGACTCGATGACCTCTCGAGGTCCCTTCCAGTCCTATGATTCTATATCTCTATAAAACACCGTATCTTCCTTTCAGTTTTGGGGACATGAACTACTTTTCGATGCACAGCAAGAAAAGCAAATATGGTAGGGGACCAGATTGGCTTA